GTGTCCCCCCAGCCCCATGGCAGGCTTGTGGCACCTGTCCCCAGGGCAGGCTGGTGCACAGCGCCTGCCGGCTGTCCCCCAGCCCCATGGCATGTGCCACGTCACCCTGCACAGGATGGCTCTGTAGGGCCACCCAGCCCACAGCACCACGGAGCACCGGGGCCCTCACTGGCTCCTTCCACCACTGGTGACGCTCAGCATTGGGGGGACACCCCAGGTGACACTCAGTGTGTGCGTGGGGGGACACCCGTGACACACGGGACGGGGGACCCCGTGCCCACGGTGGGGGTGGGGTGTCCCCTCCTTCTCCTCCCTCGCCTAGCGTCCCTGCCCCCCACCATGGATCCAGGGGGTGACCAATAGTGTCCCCAAGCCCAGCCAGGGCCGAGGCGTGCGGTGGCCCCCAGCGCGGTGTGACAGCCCAGCTGGGTGCCTGCAGCACCCATGGTGCCTTGGCTGCAGCAGCACCAGACAGGGGCCATGGCACTGCTGTGCCAGGGTGCTGGGAGGTGACAGCAGGACAGGGGGTGGCTGGACGTCCCCAGGCTTGGCTTTGGTGGTGGCTCCTTGCGTGATGTATCAATCAGCCAGGTGCCCCGTGGTGACGGGCTGGGGGACGTGGGGACCTGGGGCCACCATGGGCGCTAGGGGCCTGGACCGAACCCCCCCCATCTCCATCACTGTCACCACAATGTCCCCACAGCTGCCACAGCCACAGTGCCGGGGTGGTCCCCGTGGCGAGGGGACGCCCCTGTTTCAGAGCAAGAAGCCACCATTGTCACTGGGTTTGGGGACATTTATATATATATATATATAAAAATATAGGGGTTTTTTCTTAATGATTTTAACGCTGTAAGGTCAAGCGGTGCCACGGTGCCGCCACGGACGTGTCAGGGAGGGCCCGCGGCCGGGATGGGGGGGTGCACCCAGTGCTTCCAGAGCCAAGAGAGCAAAACACCGTCCCCAGGCCCCCCAGCAGGCCGAGCCAATGGGCCCCGTCCCGGCGCGTGGCAGGGGACAAGCACACCGGGGCGGTGGCAAAGCCCCCCACCCCGCCAACTCACCGCCAGGCGGACCGCCACCCAACGCCTGCGCCTCGTCTCGCGCTCCTGCTTTGCACGCGCTGGGGAGCCGCCGTCGCCACTGCCGGAGCCGCCATTGCTGGAGATGCCGCGTGCTCCTCGCTCGGCCCCGGCTCCGGCCCCCGGGGAAGCCTCCTGCAATGTCGCAGAATTTATTTACAATAAAGATTTGGAAAATGATGGGGGTTCTGCTCATTCTGGGGGCACGAGCCTCCCCACATTTCATCCATGAGCATGCTCTGGCCCCTGGTCCCCTTCACCTCATCCCACCGACGTCCTGCCCCTGTCCCACACTCCGCCCTGGCCCATCCCCAAGGGTTGGGACGCCTGTCTGAGTCTGGTGTCCCATCATACAGAGGTGATGGCACATGGCGAGTGCCACCGAGCTTGGGCCCTCTGAGCTTTTGCCCGGCTGGGGGCCCTGCCCCACCACGGGGACACACGGCTGCTCCCCGTCCCACCGCAGAGATGCTCTGTCCTGTGCCTGTCCCAGGGCGAGGACACAGCGCCATCCCCGCCCCGCCACATGCACCAGTCGCTGTCGCAGCATGGGGACCAGTCCCTTGCGCGTCTCTGGGATGCAAGAGCTGTTCACCGTCCCTCTTCAGGGACTCACGGGCAGGCTCCCGTCCCCTCCCAGGGACACCCTCCGGCTGGGTCAGCTCTGTGTGGGGCCCTGCCCGGCTTTGCGGTGGGGTGGGCAAAACCAGGCAGACGGGGACTCGGGGATGGGTCCCCAGCTCCCAGAGGGACCCACAGGGATGAAGCATCCTCCCATGGGACCAGCCTGGGTGATGATCAGCCAATGCTGGTGAGGCAAAGCTCAGCACAACCGGACTGACCGGCACAGCCAGACTGTTTGGCACAACCGGACTCCTCGGCACAGTCGGACTCCTGCTCGGCACAGCCGGACTGCTCGGCACATCAGCCACGAGAGGGCTCCCCCAGTCCAGTCCACGCACGCCTGGACTGGATGGCGCAAGAGATGATGCTCTGACGTCCCTGAGATGCTCCAGGGCCACACGTGTCCCTGCAGCCCCCAGCCTGAGCTGGGAGGACGGAGCCTGAGGACAAAGGCACAGGCTGGGGAGGGGGCTGCAGCACGTTCCCCCTGTTCGGGGTCCTTTGATCAGTGGGGGACACCACATGAGCATTGCTGCCAGTCCCCTCCATCCTGGCAGCAGCGGCAGAGGCCCGGCATCCCCCTGCCCGCAGAGGGTCACGTCCCCGGGGAAGCCCCTTCTCTGCCAGCCAGGGAGGACGGGTGGGATGCAGGCCAATGCGTGATGCGACGACCCAGCCCGAGCCGTGGGGCTGGGGGTGCCCCTCGCCCTGCAGAGCCCCAGAGGGACCCGCTCTGGGTTCTCCCTACACCGTGTGCCATGAAAAAGCACCCGAGTCAGCACCTTGTGGCAAGCACCAGGGTCCACGCACATGATCCAGGGTACCAGGGTGGGCCCCAGGCAGGGGCCTCTCTCCTGGTTTCAGAAGGGCTAAGCCCATCTTATTAAAGCAATCACTGTCATCCGCTCGCTCTGTCCCCCGCAGCTACGGCCTTGCAGGAGGCAGCGAAGATGCTGGAGGAGCCTCGGGCTGCGGCAGGGAGCGCGGGGCGGCTGAGCCGGGGGGTCTGCGCCAGGAGCCACCCCCATCCTGGCTGCCTCCTCAGCCGCAGGCCACCCCCGCCAGGGCAAGGCTCGGAGCAAACAGCGCCGGTCCGCCCCGTGACGCCGTGAGCCCACCGCAGCAGGGACATCTTTACACCCCTTAAGGATTTGAGCTGCAGATTTGCTACCAGCCGTGACCGAGATGCAGCTCGGCAAGGAGCTATTTTAGGCTGGTATCTAGATACAGGGCGATGAGTGAGCCAGAAATATTCCAGATGCACAGACTGTTTCTGAATCTTGAGTTATTCAGGGCCTTCAGGGTCAGGAGGGCAAAAAATATGACTTAAAGTCGGCCCAGCTCCGGTCTGCAGCCCAGCAGGGTCACGCAGCACCTACGCTGCTTGCTTAGGGCAGAGTCCCGCTCGTGGGCACCGCTGCACGTGCCGGGGAGGCCGGGGCTCACGAGGATGCGGCAGTGCGGTTGGACGTGCCCAGCACAAGGGCGATGCTCCTTGGTCAGCTCCCCAGGAGCACAAAAGCTATGAGAGGCAGCGGGGTCCAGCGCCCAGAGGCTCCTCTCCATCGCAAACTTCGCCAGCTCCTTATTAGCTTCCTCCATCGCATCACCCAGCCCCTCCGCCTTGAGGAGCTGCCTCGGACCGCGGAGCACAGGCTGGCCACACGCTGCGGTGCTCCTGCCCGTCCCCAAGCTCCTTCTCCCACCCCGAACTCGCCAGTTTTATGTTAGAGATCAGCCTCGCGCTCAGCTCTGATCCACACGCCTCATCCACCACCACCAGATTTTAACAGCACTTGCTAAAGGTTAACCACATCGTCCGAGGGAGAAGCCCCAGTCTCCCATTTCCGTGCCGGGTGCCGAGGTGCTCCTTGGATGAAGGCTGCGAGGTCGGCGTTGGCTTTCGGGTTCCTCCGAGGTCGCTTGCAGAGCTCGCTCCCCAATCCCAGTGTGATACATCCCCCCGTAACGCAGAGCGCCCGAAAGGACCCACGGGGTGCAACGGCTTGGGCAGACCCAGGGTATGCGCCTGAGCAGCTGCCGCTTACAGGGATAAAACCAAAGACTTGCCCCTTTTCACTGAAAACAGCAACGAGCCCCTAAGGGTGAATCCTGCCACTCTCAAAAGCCTGCGATGGGCGGAAAAAAAAAAAAAATCCCTCTGATTAGTAAAACCAGAGGAATAAGAAACCACGGCCACCTCTGCGTCTGTGCCACTACATAACTGATCCGGGGAACCACGGGCCTGCCAGCCTGGCCTCGGTGCCGGGGAAGGTCCTGGAGCAGATCATCCTGAGTGTCATCACGTGGCACGTGCGGGACAACCGGGGGATCAGGCCCAGCCAGCATGGGTTCATGAAGGGAAGGTCCTACTTGACCAACCTGATCTCCTTCTATGACAAGGTGACCCCTTGGTGGATGAGGGGAAGGCTGTGGGTGTTGTCTACTTGGACTTTAGTAAGGCCTTTGACACTGTCTCCCACAGCATTCTCCTGGAGAAGATGGCTGCTCACGGCTTGGATGGG